TCACTGCACCATAGGAAGTCATTCTTTGGGTATGGTCATATTTGTAGGTAGAGTTGGCTTAAAAAAAAAGAAGAAGAAATAAAAGGGGATGCAGTTAAGAACAGAGCAAGGAAGGATGGTGTAGTCTGTGGAAACATTAGCCTGGGACCTGGCTGATACAGGTTTGACTTCCTGCTCTGCCATTGACTTCCTATGACAGGCTAACGTCGCTGAAGAACTAACAGATGTTAGGATGCAAATGAGGAATGGGTTGGAGAATAATACAAAGAACAGTAGGAAACATTTATATTACGTTTATATTAAACAAGAGTATAGATTGATCTCGAGTATTGTGAACATTACTGGTTACCCCTGCTTAAAAAATACAGTGGAGCGAGATTCACAGAAGAGTGACCAGAATCTGGAAAACCCCAAATATAAAAAGTGAATTAAAAGACTGCCGGTGTTATTCTGAGATTGTAAAAAAAATAGAAAGTAATTATAAGGAGGTGGTCAGCCTGAGACCCTGCTGTAAGCAGTTGGCAGGTAAGAATCTCTCTGGCTGGAAGGCTGACAGCAGCCACAACTGATAAGGGAATTAGGGTGGAGTCATAAAGGGTGCTGACAGAAGTGACATTTGTCTTGCGATCAGCCCCTTGAAAGTGCTGTACAGCGATGCCCTGACAGAAGTGCATGGCTGCAGAGTGCTTTAAAGATGCCTGATCACACAACAAATTACCCTTCATTAGATGAGGAGTGGATCACCTTCATTAAACTTCTGTCTGACCACCTTCAGAGCTGTCCACATGATGGGAGGGTGTAGAAGGAAGAGTATTGGAGCTCCAATCCACCCACCCCCCACCCTATCCCAGTGCAGGCTGGGCAAACTCCAGGCCGCAGCTCCATCTTGTCCCTTCTACCCCCTCCCATCATGCAGATAGCACTGGAGCTTGGAAGTGGGGGTGGGGATAGGGGAGAGAGGCAAAGCTGAAATGAAGCTCCTCCTGGATTGGCTCCAAGGTGGAGCTCATTTCCACCCTCCATCCCCCCACCATCCAGCAGGGAATGTCTGTTGGGTTATGGGTTGCTGTAACACATGGCACTTTCTGTGAAGCACCATGGGATGCATGTAGAAATGCTCCGTGCATGTTTGGTAGGGGGCATTCTATAGCCTTGTGGGTCTTCTCCAAGGTCAGAAATTTGACCAAGGTACAAACGTTATCCGAAGTGCTGTGTGGGTTGCTAAAACACTTTACAATACAGCGCTTCCAATTTAATACTTCATTTAACAAGCCTTACTTTAAAGTACTGTACCCATTTTAAAAATTCCATAAAGCTGTGCACTTCTGTTAAGTCACAGCAATAAAGCACTTTAAATGGTTAAAAAAGCAACTTCTGTATACACCCATGAGTTACTGTGGGGAGCTGCATGTCTGTCAGCACCCAAAGAGGCATAAAAGCTTCAGGAGCAGAGTGGAAAAGAGAGGAAGAGGTGTGGTATGATATGGTTAGGTTAGGTTAGGGAAGTATTGAGTTGTGTGTAATGCTTCTCCGGGTCTGAAGAAAAACTACAGATTTTGGGGTCATTTGTGGTTTGCAGACTTGCTTGTTTTGTTGTTTTTCTTCTACTGTGTGGACAGTTTGTAAATCTGACTGTGGGCTGACTGGCTTCAATAAGGAAGCTGAGTGACCCACCTACAGTAACAAACAAGTGGTCTAGAGAAGGCTTAATGAAGCTTTTTACCTCCTTGTCCAATACCAAAAGAATAAAGCCAATGGTTGATTAAAATAAAAGGTGGGAAAGTCAAAGCCAATAACAAGAAACACTTTTCGGTATAATGTGCATTGAATTGTAGAATTTGATGCCATGGGAAGCATTTGAGTCCAAGAATGTAACAAGATTTTTAAAAATTGATTGGCTATTTATATGGCTATCAAAAATAACCAAAGTTTTAATTAACAGTGACAAATTTTGCAAGAGAAGTTTAGCCTTGTAGTTTGGGGATTAAGTAACTCTCTTAGTGACAACTATGAAATCAGCGTGAGAGTAAGTTGTTCCACATCTGCCTGCTTAAGGCCTTACACTGCCCTCTGAAACATCTAGCCCTGGACAATGTCAGAGACAGGATCCTGGATGAAATGGATCTTTGTTTGATCCACTAGGGCAAATTCTGTGTGACCTTGGGCAAGATCCTCAGAAGTTGATCCTTACCTGTTGTAACACTTAAGGCACATCTACACCTGAACTGTAATGCTCAATACCCTATTTTACTGAGCATTAAAGTGTTGCATAAAAAAAAAAAATGCTAACATGCTAATGCACAGTAAAATAGGCTACTGTGCATTAAAGCTCATGCTTTTTAAATGACGTTTCGCTACTGCATATTAGGGCAGCCTATTGCACATTTATTTAGTACCTCACATAGGAGGAACTAAATTTAATGCGATTAGGAAAAGCGCATTAATGAACATGTAGACGCACCCTGAATGTTGCAATGTCCAGCTCTTATGTACACTGCCAACCAGTGGAAACTGCAGTCCTGAGTTTGATTCTCAATCTCTCTATACAATATATGAGGATATTTAATCTCCAGAGGAAGATATCCTCATAAATTAGCCCTGCATAGTGCTGCCTCTCATTAGAGATGGGTATCTTTTTTGGGACAGGCAGATGCCTCCTGCTTGGGATCCTCAACTGTGAGCCCCATCCTATGCCCAGTTTGCCTATCTATCTGAGACTTCAGGATAGCCTGGTGCTTAGAGCACATGTGTGTGTGCCTCACCCACTTGCTCCTGTTTTTTGTACACCAAGCCTGGAAATCAAGCACCAAAGCTGCTCAGAGGATGCCTTCTTTCAGTTACTCTCAAGCATGCTACAGAGATTTTAAGAGCGACTGTGGGAGGCACCCCCAAATAACTTCACCGGTGTATGTGAGAGCCCCCAGTGGTCCTGGACACATGGTGTAAAAAGACCAATGCCTTTGAAGAGGTAGATGAGGGCCTAGAACCTTTGAAAATCTTGAGTCTTAAGGCCTGTGACCCATTGAAGCCAATAGAAAAACTAGTATCTTTAATGGCTGAAATGGTCTAGTTGGGAATGATCCTGTTTTGAGCAGGAGGTTGGACTCAATGACCTCCTGAGGTCCCTCCTAGCCCTGATTTTCTATGACTGTAGGCTTTGGAGGAGGCATATGGTCTCTCTCTGCCTCAGATCCTAGTTGGCACAATGGAGATAACACTTCCTTACCTCACCAGAGTTTGAAGACAAATGCTGTTCAGGAGAGTCGCGCAAGTACTTCAAATGAATAGATAATGCATCTTAGATCCTATGGCACAGGTGCTGCTAAAGATGGTGGGTCATTACTGGCTCAAGGGACAGGAAAAAAGCAGTTCCACAAAACTAAGCTGAAAAGCAGTGCTGTACAAGGTACCTTCTTACTCAGCAGATGTGTTTCTTGGGTGTGTTCTGACTAATCTGCTAACTTTACTGCCTAACTTTTTTTTTTTTTTTTAAACTGTT